TTAGCAAAAGCAGGGACCATGGGGATGGAGAAGAAGCACATTTGAGAGCTGAGAAGGAGGCAGAGATTTCAGGGTTTGGTTGCCTTTTGTATGTATGGATTAAAGGAGATACCTTAGATGACTCCCACGTGACTGGATGGGGGCAACTGGAAAGGGATATGAATGTAGAAGGAACAGATTGAGGCAGTGGGAAGATGATGAATCCTGTGCTAGATGTACTGCATTTCCGGTACTCATGGGACATTCAAGTAGAGAAGCTCAGGAGACAGATATATGTATCTAGGAATCAGAAAAGATGCGATACACACAGTAAATATTTTACAGTACTAGAGAGCATCCCTTGATTCTTAGGAGCAAGTTTAAGACCAATTGTGGTATATTGGATTCTAAGGCCACGACAACAAATTATCATAAACTGAGTGGCTTAAAACAAATTTATGCTATCACTATTTGGAAACTAGAAATCCAAAGTCAAGGTGTCAGCAAGGATTAGATCCTTCCAGAGTCTCTGAGGGAGAGAATCTGTACCATGCCTCTTGCCTGGCTTCTAGTGGCTGCTGGCAGTACTTAGTGTTCCTTGGTTTACAGATGCATAACTTCAGTCTCTGTTTCTGTAGTCACATGACCTTCTTCTGCATGTCTCTGTATGTTAAATCTCTCTCTCATTCCTCTTATAAGAACACCAGTCATTGGATTTAAGGCCCATACTACATCTAGGGTGATCTCATTTCAAGATTCATAATTTAATTACATTTACAAAACTTCTATTTCCAAATAAGATCAAATTCACAGATACCAGGAGTTAGGATAGGGCATGGACATATCTTTTTAGAGACACATTCAACCCATCACAAGTAATTTTCTGTTTTTCCTTCTACTTTTCAACAGCTTCATTTATTGTGGAGCAGCCATTACTCTTTCTGTTTAGGTTTTATCCTAAGATTGGACTTTCCAGTTTGTCCATTTTTTCTGCCCCTGAAAATATAAAAAAGTGTTCTTTTTTAATTTTGAGAATTGTGTTGGTAATGGCTAAGAAGAAACACAAGCATAAAAAAATCAAATTGTGGTAAAATTAACAAGGTTGTAGAATCTCAGAAATTTCTTAACTTAATGATTCCTAACCTGCATTTCCTAAATCTCATCTGAGTTGCTATCTGGAGCCATATTGGCCTTTGCCCCCTCTTTTACCTCCTAAGATTGAGGCTCACCAAACCTCTCCTAAACACATAGGCTGTCTTCTGATCCTGTCTTTAGATACAATTGCTGCCTCAGTATATAATGAAGGAAGAATAAAATGTATTGGGGATATTTTTGACTTGGGGTGACTTCCATCTAACTGAACCTCTCTACCAACAAGAAATTATATCCCCTTCACAGACTTTATCGTAATAGGTAAATCCATGCAACAAGACTGCTGAGGGTAAGCATATAGGGCAAAAGAAGAAAGAAAGAAATGAACATTTTTTTACTGACTTCTCAGATACCAAGTGTTATCTACACCTCTGTGTGTATTTTATTTAACTTTTCTATTGACCATAGATTTGTTTTACAGTTGCGGGAAATAGACAGTCAGTGAGATTAACTGTTGTAATTTGTCAAATATCATACTTTCCAAGAAGTAGAAACCCAGATTCATTTGAACCCAGTGCTCAAATTTTACCTGTTTCACTATGCTATGTTGCAAATAAACTGACAGTTACTGTCAGGGACCATTTGTTATGCTAAAAAAAACTATATTAACTCATTTAATTTTCATGACATTTATTTTATCTGCTAAGTGTTATCCCCATTTAACCAATAGATCATTGAGACTTAGAAAAGTAAAACAACTTGTGAAATTTATATAGCCAGTAAGTGGTAAAGCTAGGATTTAGTTCAGATTTGTTCAGTTCCAAAACATATACTTTTCTGAGGATTGGAACTTTGGACCAAAGTCTAAAGAGCAGGTGAAGAAAGGATCCCAGGAAAGGAAGTGGAAATGGAGGAGTCAGAGGAGAGGAAAGAAGGAATTTGAATAGTAAGGAGATTGTCAGTGCTGTCATTCTGCAAGAAATGGAAAATGCCCCTTGGATTTGGGGCATTTTGAGCAAGGGAAGCAGAGATTGTAG